AAATGAAGCCGCAATTATTTTAATCGCGGCTTCATTTCCCTCTTCCGATGTGGCTAATCTACATGCCTCCGTCGAAGGAGGCATGGAGTCTGGACACAGCCTTTGATTCTATGCATTTTGGGACAAGGAACATCTTTATTGGCACAGGCACAGAAGAAAGCAGATACTGGCAGAAGTGGAGTACTCTAGCAGTTAGGACGAGTGCAATGTAGTACGAAGAGACCTGATCACCAGGGATGTAAAAATGCAGTTAAAAGTGTAACTGTGTAACCTCTAAAAGTCACAGCGGTTACACACGCTGCGAGCTCTACAGTATACTGTAGAGCCCGCAGCGGGACCAGAGCCAGGAGCAGGGCCAGCAGCAGAGCCTCGTCCCTGAGAGTGGGGCCAGCAGCAGCCCCTGCCAGCCCCGCTCCCGGAAAGGCTTTGCTGCGGGTCCTGCTCCCAGGAAGCCAGAGTGTAACCTGTGTGGGGAGAGGCTGGCTGGTTAACCTGTTAACCTTTTACATCCCTAATGATCACAGCTGTAGGAAAGGCCATAATTTTTTACAGTGACATGCAGGACAGAGTGAATAGGCAAGCCCAGTGGGCACAGAAAGGATGTTGTACAGTAATCAGGGTGAGCTGAGAAAGGCTTGAACAAAAGGATAAAGATTGGAAGATATTGAGGGAGAAAAAGATGACTCAGGGTAGCAACTGTTAAACATATCCTTTCCTCCCACCTCCCCCATGCCCACACCTGGATGGACCATTACTCAAACAGCATGGCATGGGGAGAGAGGCAGTCTTTCAGATGGCTAAACTCCAGGACATTAGAGTTTTACAGGTCAAAACCAATGCCTTTTTATGCAGAAGTAAATAATGCACAGAAGAGTACTGAATGCTGCTTTTAGCAACTGTTAAACATATCCTTTCCTCCCACCTCCCCCATGCCCACACCTGGATGGACCATTACTCAAACAGCATGGCATGGGGAGAGAGGCAGTCTTTCAGATGGCTAAACTCCAGGACATTAGAGTTTTACAGGTCAAAACCAATGCCTTTTTATGCAGAAGTAAATAATGCACAGAAGAGTACTGAATGCTGCTTTTTGAGGCTATATATAAAAGGATTTCAGACCGCAAATCCAGCACCTTTCTGTCCTCAGATAAAGCAGAGGTGGGGAACCAAAGGTACAGCGGCCAGACGTGGTCCCCAGCTTGCTTTGTCTGGCCCCCAGAGCTCAGGGCTTCTCCCCCACAGCACCGGGAAGCCTACGCTGGCACTCCAGCCTCTGCTGCCCCCTGACTGACTGATTTTTCTGTGGGTCAGTGGCCCCCAGCCCAAAAAAGGTTCCCTACCCCGACAAAGCATCAAACCCACTGACCATGATGCTGCCATCAAATTACCTTCTGATCCTCTTCTTTGGTCCAAGGCCCTTTCACCAAGTCTGGATTCAACACCCTCAGCCACCGGTACTGGCACTGCTGGTCACTGCGGTTCTGCACCAGGAAATTAAAAGAGCCTTGAGTTAGAACAGAGGTGGCAACTACAAGAGCAACTATAGGAACCTTCCATATTGGGCAGGTTTTTTTATTTTCCAAAGATAACCAAGCTAGGAGTGGAGGGCTCAAGAGAGGGATGGGACGGGGAACCTGCCACCATTCAGCTCACATGAGCAGTCAAGGATGGTGATGGGCCTTAAGAGACCAAATTCCTCTCATCCTTACAGACGGTCCCTCCCGGGCATGCAAAGGGCACACTGGCAAATGCATAGGTGGAGGAAGCCAGCCCTGCCACTTGTCAAATGGATACACAGAAGAGCCACCAGCTCTGCTTGGGGACTTCTCTGGCCTGTGTCATACAGGGGGCCAGACTAGATGATCACAGTGGTTCCTTCTGGCCTTGGAAATCTCTGAATCTGAGGTGAACACTGGAAACCAGCCATGCAAGAAAACGAGCACTCCCAGCACGGGATGGCTGGTTATTGCCAGGGCCTCCATGCCACATGCTAATCTCCTCTACGGGAGGGAAAAAGGTTTGCACACACAACCCGCCAAAGCACGTAACATGAGCATATGGGCCATACACATCCATTTGCCATCATGCAGTTAAAACAGGGACCAATTATAGGACAAACACTACCAAGTTTGTGTCCCAGCTCACCCCCTTTCAGACAGGTTAGTTATTCTCCCGCCCTGCAGGGCTGATCATTTATTATTATTATTAATGTTAGCGAAGTTCGTTGATGCCCCAGTCCGGGACCCAGCCTCATTATTCTATGAGCTGCACAAACATAACACAAGTTTATAGAATAGTAATAGAGATGTAGATATGTTAGTCTGGTCTTGCTGAAAGGAATACAATAAAAAAAAGTGAACACACATAAAATTGACAAAATGTGTTCACTTTTTTTTTTTTTTATTGTATCCCTTTGGTATATATGGTCATGCCAATTTTCTTCCACAATTTGATCTGAGGAAGTGGGTCTGGCCCACTAAAGCTCATCACCTAATAAACCATCTTGTTAGTCTTTAAAGTGCTGCATAGTCCTGTCTTTTGCTAACACAAGCTTATGGCTGCGAAAACGTTGGGCGTAAGAAGCACCAAGAAGCCTAACTCGTCCTGTCCCACCTGCACTCCACTTACGGGAAAATGACTTGCAAGGAACTTCCAGTCACTCTGTCCAAACTGCTTCACTAGCATCTTCAGACGCTCGTCCTGCAAAAAGCAAAGGGGGTCAGCATGCGAAGTCACAGCCATGCTATTGCACGAGGGACACATCACTAAAGCCATGTCTACACTAAGAAACTATTTCAAAATAACTAAATTCAACTTAATAACTCTCAATTTTACAAAATTGAAATAGCGCATCCCACTATGGGGAAGCCTCAAAATTAGTCCAAAGCAGGCTCAGTTAATGTGGATGTGCTACCTCGGCTTAGAGCCCCAGGAAGCACCGGAGAATAATTATAGTTTGAATTACTCTGGGGAGTAGTTATTACGAAATAGCAGCACAAGAGCGTCCATTCTACCACTATTTCAAAATTACTATTTTGAAATTAGCGGTATACCCCGAGAAAAGCAGGAACACAGATTTTGAAATAAGCGGCTCCTTATTTCAAAATAACAAGCTTGGTAGTGTGGACATTCTGCTTATAAATTTGATCTAAGGGAGGTTATTTCCAAATAAAGCCCTAGTGTAAACCTAGGCTAAGTCTTGCAGCTGGAGAGAGAAGGCTTGAACTTTTGCCCTGCTAAGTACTTTATGCCATTTATAATCATGACAAAAAAAACCCTACAAATCCAGAATCACTCCAGCTGCCTGTAACAAACTGGTAGGCAGGTTTCTAAACTCTGCCATAAATGGCTGGCAGGAATTGAAGCACACAAGCCCAGGCTACTCATTGAAAACAAGTGTTCATCTGCTATACTTAAATACTGGTTTGGCTCACCTATGTTGGTCCTGCCTAGAGCGGGGGGCTGGACTTGACGACCTTCTGGGGTCTCTTCCAGTTCTATGATTCTATGATAAGGGGATGGTTGGATGAAATAACATGATCTTGGTAACTAATTGACCATTCATTATCAGTTGGAAATAGGTCAATGGAGGGATGATAGGAGTTGCTATAGGGAACTTTCTGGGTGTCTGGCTGGTGAGTCTTGCCCACATGCTCAGGGGTTAGCTGATCGCCATATTTGGGGTCGGGAAGGAATTTTCCTCCTGGGTAGATTGGCAGAGGCCCTGGAGGTTTTTCGCCTTCCTCTGTAGCATTGGGCACAGATCACAGCTGAAGGACTCTCTGCATGTTGGGTCCTTCAAAGTATTTGAATGCTTCAATATCTTTGATGTAGGTGAGAGGATTATTCTAAGAGGGGTGGTTGAGATTCTGTGGCCTGCACTGTGCAGGGGGTCAGACTAGATGATCATAATGGTCCCTTCTGACCTTAAAGTCTATGAGTCTATGAATCTATGTTCTAACATGGTTTGATTCAAAGAGCTCGAACAGGGCCAAACTGTGCTCTAATCAGAGAGTTTTAGATGCAAGAGAGACCTTGTCTGAGAGCTAGTTTATGCTTCTGGATTACAATATGATAGGCCCCAGACATGGCTCAGACAGGGCTGCATTTTGCTGTGCAGACAGGGCTAACCCATATTTTAACTGCATCCCCACACCATACAGCAGCCCTTCCCTTGGGACCCAACACAGCAACGGGAGAGATGTCTCATTTTGGATGGACCCTAAAGCAATGACTTTTAAAACCGGGTTATAACCCAGTTTTGCCTCAGTCATGCAGCTCAGCCAAAGTCTAGCCCAGGGATGGGCAAAAGGGCTGGATCCGGGCTACCAAGCAAGTTGATCCAGGACCTGCCGCTCCTCGTCCCCAGGCCAATTAGGATCTGGGGGCAAGGGAGCACGCGAAGTTTCCTCCCACCCTGCCAGGGACATAGGTGCCTAGTGGGAAAGGGGGGCAAAGGGGCTTTCCCCACCTCCAAACCAAGCATGGTCTGTGATAGGGAAGCTCAGAAGCATCCTGGCCCCGTCCCTTCCAGTTTAGGCCCCGCCATTTTCGGGGCAGCCCCGGGCCACTTCAAAAAAGATTATTGCCCTCCCCCGTCTAGCCTAACGCAGCTGGATCTCAAATGAGGTTAACAACTATTAAGGCATGTCTACAGGTGTTTCTGAATCCTATGTCACTGTAGGTAATCCCATCCCAAGGGGCAGTAGCTAGGTCGACGGAAGAATTATTCTGTCAACCTAGCTGCGTCGATACTGGAGCTAGCACACCTTAACTCTGGCACTCAGAGATGTGAATTTCTCTCACCCCTGAATGATGTAGCTATATTGATCTAAATATGAAGTGTAGACAAGGTGCTAGACTCAGCTTTAGTTGAGGTAGTAAACAGCTTACTTGCCATGCTGAATCTGGGGCCCCATCTTCATCGCAAAAAAGGTATGTTTCTAACTTGAGTTAACTAACACAAAGATAAAACTCCTAGTGGCGAAGAGGAAGTATGCAGTTTTCCCATGAATTTGCTCATTAACATGACTTGCTAACTCAGGTCTTCAACAAGATTTTACCTGGTTAGCTAAGAGGAGTTAAGAACACTCCTTCTTCTGTAACAAAGACAAGATCTGAGTTGAGCACTTCTCTCTTCTGAGGACTACAGAGACACTAGCATAAGTGCATCAGAATTACCATTCTGACACGAGTAAGAGCCCATTTAGTTGAGTGTCTTATTTCTGACAGAAGCTGATCCTCATCCTCCAGGATAAGGTGTAGACCTCCAAAGTTGGGGTAAACTCTTGCGGCAGTTGATGGCCGATTTAAGACCCAAGTACCTTAACAGATACATATGGTATGGGTGAGAATTTGCTTGGGGATATACTAGCAGCTTAGCTTTTAATGGCTGACTTTCTCCAAGTCTCCTCTTAAGACAGCTCACCCTACAGCTTCTCTACACAACTGTCCTAGAGAGAAGGTCTTATTCCGACTTTCCTCCACCTCCAGTCACTCTGTCCACACCCCTGGAAGATACAAAACACATTTTGAGCAAAGCCCTGTCATCACCTACCTCTTCGTGAGTCCACTTGACCTTGCACCTGTTCTCCCGCTGCTCTGGCACATCTGAGTCTGTGTCCTGGTAATGCAGCTCATCTTGCTCCTCACTACACAAAACCAAGAGGGTGAGATTTGTTTGATGAGAGATGCAGCAGCTGGAACAAACACTGCAGCACAGCCCAAAGCTCTGCCTCTGCTCATGGGCCTTTTCACTAAGTTTTGGTCACATTTCCCAAAGACAGCTGCCTCACCTAAATATTTAAGTATCAAATAATTAGCTGCAAATTGGGGTCACATGCTTTGCTTAGGAAAGCTTCTGTGGAAGTCTCTTTGTTATTGGTAAACAATAGCAAGGAGCACCGCTCAACTACCCTGTGACCCAAGGCACTCTTGATGCCAGCTGGTAGAGGGCACACGGGTGCACGTGTTACAGGAATCCCCTTGGTTTGGTATTCATATACCAGTTCACCCAAGAGTACCAGATAAGGTCCCTACTGAATGCTGGTGTCCATCCCGGGCTAGCAGAGGTGGGGATCTGACCCCCAGCAAGCCCTGACATGGCTTCTTCTTGGTAAAGGCAGATGGTAGCAAGGTGCCTTACAATCCTGGGAAGTGTCTCATCCTTATCCACTACAGGGACAAAGACCTAGTTTTACTACTGGGGACAAGGATGCTGACCTGTTTTGTAAAGCACTTTGAGATCCATTGATGAAAAAGTGCTATGTAAGGGCTAGTAACTGTTGTTATTACTGTACCATAAGGACAAGGTGAGATGCTTAGGATCAGTGAAATGAACAGCAGTCCCAGCACACCAGCTGCCTAGTCACAGTCAAATGGTCTGCAGGCATCACATTGTCTCTATGACTGAAGCCCACCTTCCCTTCTTTCTCGCTGGTGATTACAGGCTATCCCCATTAAGGATGTTAAGAAGTAGATATCTGGCTAATCATGTAGTCAATACAATTTGTATCGAGTATACGATTAGTAGATAAGGGAAGGCGCTCTGCAGAGAGACAGCGGGGATAGCTCCTAGATCGCTATGCCTGTGACTCCTCTGCCCCTCCCCACTCGCACTACAGAGATGGTGCTGGGGGGAAACCGGCTTTTAAGCCGGCTCCCCACTAAGGATGTTAAATTGTGTTTAATTAGCTAATCGAATAGTTAACAGCTCTTAATACATTTAAAACGCAGAAGTGCAGCCAGGGGGACCGGGCACAAGCCAGCAATCAGCTGATTCCCAGCTCACCCCCAGTTCCCCGCTAGCCTCTGCTTCCTCTGTCCCCTGTGGAGGCAGTACTGGGGGGAACCAGATTTTAAGTCTAGTCCCCCCCCAGCACCCACTCCTGATTCTCTTTCCTTCCTGCCTCTCTCTAATAGAGGCAGCACACGGGAGTGGGGGAGGAAAGAGGAGGAGCGACTAGTCTAGTCACTACTCAACTACCTGATAAGCATATGCTTATCTGGTAGTCGAATGGTAGCTTACACCCTTACTCCCCCCAGCCCTGGCTCCTGTTTCCCCCACCCTTGCTGCCTCTGATACAGAGGCAGCAATGGGGGTCAGGGAAATGCAAGTAGTCAACTTGACTACCCGATAAGCTTAGGCTTTAACAAATTATATATATAAATCTCTAAGGTGCTACAGTACTACTCGTTGTGTATTCAAATAATATGAAGGAAATATTTAATACAAGTTAGTAGCAAAAGAAGAACAGCCACCAGCATCATGTGACCAGGCAGCTCTTTACAGGCGTTTCAGAGCCACTAGCCCAATGCAGGCCTTTTGCTTTATTTTGTGCCCACTAGCAAGCCCATGACACAGGACAGCTTCCAGCTCCCTTATCCAAGTAGGCAGAGCAACTGGAATTGATCCCATAGGTTTAAGAGCAGCCGTTTTTATTGAAGGAGAGAGGAAACAAACTGAGTCCCTGATTCTCTGTCCATATTTAAGGAACTAGAACCCAGGAACACCATCTCAAACTAAACACGGGCAAAAAAAAGTGTAAGATATTGGATAGGCCTACCCCTCACTGTTCAAAAACCTTTAGTCTGGGTTATACTATAGCTTGGCTAGCCTTGCCTGTTTTATATTGTCTTCATCACAGAAACTCACCCAGAGGCAAGAGCAGGGCCTCATGGTGCTGGTCCTACCATCTCATCTGATCAGTGACTGTCCTTACCCCAAGGGCTTTATAACCAAACTGGCACCTTTCACCTGCCCCATACTAAGGCAGAACAAAACATACTGATCACTTGAGGTCAACCCCCTCCCCCGCCCGACATGGCTGCCCGTTTCCCCACACACATATTTTGTGAGCAGGCCATTTTAAAACAGCACTTTAACCCGACCACAGATCAATCCCCCCCCCCCGCACCCGGGAGATGAGTCTGTGGATTGCCCTGCATGCTGAGCAAGATCCCCATAATGGGGAGGGGGAATGCAGGGCGTGGATTCTCCCCCGGGAAATACTGGGGGAGACAACAGGGGGGAACAAACCCAGCCTGCCTCCCAGGGCGGGCTCGAAGCTCCCCCACTGCATGAAACTTACCAGCGGGACCTGCGAGCCATCCTGCCCCTTTGTGCATTAAAAGCACCGATGGCGAGAGAATCCACGCAGCTCGCCAGGGGGGTGCCGCATCCCTTGGCTCCGATTCTCCCCCGGGAAATACTGGGGGAGACAACAGGGGGGAACAAACCCAGCCTGCCTCCCAGGGCGGGCTCGAAGCTCCCCCACTGCATGAAACTTACCAGCGGGACCTGCGAGCCATCCTGCCCCTTTGTGCATTAAAAGCACCGATGGCGAGAGAATCCACGCAGCTCGCCAGGGGGGTGCCGCATCCCTTGGCTCCGGAGCCGGCCTCTGCCGGGGGTGCAGCCCCGGCGACCCCCGCCTAGCGCGCGCGCGACAGATTAGGCGCGGGGGAAGCTCGCGCCTGCCCGGCGTACAGCACAGGAGGAACTTTCCTATCTCGCGCCAACTCCACCCCGGGCTGCAGCCGAGCCTGCGCGAGAGCGACGAGAAGCGCAAAAATAAAAGGAGGGAGACTGAAGGAAGGACAAAACGGGAGGTGGGGGTATTTAAAAGAGGCGCGCGCGGGCCGCTTGCAAAATCTCCTTCCTTTTTTCCGCTGCCCCCAATTCTTACTGCAGCGAGAATTAATGTCTGTAAAATGCGGCACGCAAAGGACGTGTGCACATTACAGGCATGCAGGTCCAGCTCGGCGTGCACAAAGAAATATATGCATACAGCGACAGCTCCGCAGCGGCAGGCACCCTGCAGGGGGCTTGGGGTCTGCAAACCCAAATTCTGTTTGCGCCTTAACGTTGCCCCTCAGGAGTCAGACCTGACCGTAAGTTTCATGGTAAGCCTCAGGCCCGAAAGCCGACCCAACAGAGACAGATCTCTGCACTAGACTGGGGCTTTCACGGGTCTCCTCTCCCCCTCCCTGTCATCTCCTGGCCAGGCTCCTCATGCCTTCAGTCAGAGTGCTGAGAGTACAGTCTACTGAAATGGACAGGCACTGGGCCCACAATCATATCTAGGCTCTGTTCCTGGCTATGTCACTGATTCACTCCCTGACCCAGGCCAAGTCATTTAATCTGTGCCTCGGTTTGCCCATCTGTAAAACAGAGCTAATGATGCCTATTCACTTGTGCTAAGGGCCTTGAGATCTATGAATGTGAAGTGCTACATACATGCTAATGTACAGTTAGTCCAGGGCTGAACATAATCCCTATTTTCTGAATAAACAAGAAAAAGCTTTTTGTGCCAGGCAACAAGTGTTTCTCTATTTGCATAGAAGGATGTGGTGAGGATTAATTGCACAATATTTTGAAGTTTATAAATCATATGGAAGAGCTATTGTTTCTATTCTTAATGTTAAAGACATAGCTTATTTGGGATAAAGGTGGATTTATAGAGGGAAGACAGCTAAAGGGAAGTGATTTTATCCTCAGAGGCCCATGTCTGCAGAAGTGCATTTGCAGAGATGTTTACCTGCATTTTGCTGTGCAGCACTGAATAAAGGGTAACAATTGCCTACAAAATCCAAAGGGAGCTCTGAATGACTATTTCATGAGTCACCTCGATAGCCACTTCAACAAATAAAATAACAAAGACAGTCACTGGTATAAATGTCAGTACAGACAAGTTCAGAGAAAAAGGCTTTGATTCAACAAAAGACTTGAGCATATGCTTAAAGTTACACATGTGTCTAGGCAGTTTGCTGAAACAGTGGAACCTCCATTGCAGCATGATGGGCAAATAAGATTTCAAAGGAGAACCCATCACAGAGCTATATATAAAAAGCAGACCATCATTCCCCATCATTCTTTGCCTTCTCTTAACATCTATTTACAAATTCTGATAGCAGAGCCCATCATCTCCAACCAACCTGCTCAAAAGAGAAACACATGCTAACAAACTCTCTAATTTTTTTTCATCCGTATAAAGAACAAAGGTTATGTGCACAAAGGCATGTGCAGATGTGCACCACCAATAGAAACACAGGCTACGTCTAGACTGGCATGGATTTTCCGCAAATGCTTTTAACGGAAAAGTTTTCCGTTAGAAGTATTTGCAGAAAAGAGCGTCTAGATTGGCACGGACACTTTTCCGCAAAAGCACTTTTTGCGGAAAAGCGTCCATGCCAATCTAGACGCGCTTTTGTGCAAAAAAGCCCCAGTCGCCATTTTCGCAATCGGGGCTTTTTTGCGCAAAACAAATCTGAGCTGTCTACACTGGCTCTTTTGCACAAAAGCTTTTGCTCAAAAGGACTTTTGCCCAAATGGGAGCAGCATAGTATTTCCGCAAGAAGCACTGATTTCTTACATGAAAGCGTCAGTGTTCTTGCGGAAATTCAAGCGGCCAGTGTAGACAGCTGGCAAGTTTTTCCGCAAAAGCAGTTGCTTTTGCGGAAAAACTTGCCAGTCTAGACACAGCTGCTGGGTGTAGGCGCTGTGGGCTCTCTGTTAATCAGCTGTGCAGCATTTCAATCTCTCCTGGGTGGCCGCCCAAGCATTCAGCACTCAAGGAACACTGCTCATAGGACATGTTAAGAGTCCCATGTTACAGTTAAAACATAAAGATGGAAGAGTCAGAAAGACTCCCATCAAGCAGACAGAAGAACACCCATATGTATTAATGGTATTTTGAGTACTCAGGCATGGAGGACACTGGTTTGTTTAATGGGTACACAGGATAAAACAACAGAGGAGAGGATTCACAATCATCACTGATACAATCCCACCAGCTCCCAAACTCTTGTCCAGGAACCATTTTCTGATGACCTCTGAAAAGCTGACTGGTCATATGCTGCTACCACCTCCTCTTTGTTTCCAAGTTGCTACATCACACTGAAGACAGCTAAAAACACAAATACTTTCCCCTTGTTGCTTTTCCATGTAAACAGCTATCTATGGGGATGCTACAGGATTGCGAACAGACAGGAGCCAGTCTGTGCCTTTCCAAAAAAGAGAAAAGGAGCTCTGCATGACCAGAAATGGGAGAGGAAGTGTTCACAAAGATAGTCTCTCCGTTGAGACAGGAGATCCCCAATGAAAAAGTTTGAGCAGCCTGGTGCTGTAGGTTTATCTTCTTTAGGAGCACTCATAGGACTAGCCATTGCCATTAAATGGCACTATTGCTTTTCACAAAAAGTGTTGCATTGGAACATTTATCTGGTTCAGAGCCACTCCAGCAGCTGTGTGTCGGGTGGGGCTATTTCTATTTTTATGCATAGCACTCAGGAGTTCACTACCACCCAGCTCTGACAATCATCTCTTGTTTCTGAGGCTTGATTTTTGTGAATTAGCATCTCCCCAAGAAGTCTGTAACAGCACTAAATGGATAGGCTAAATACGAAGCCTGCAGAGCAGACCTATTAGGTTATTGATGCAATTCCAACATAGGATACTCTCTGCTTATTGGCCCTGATCTTGCAGACTTATGTTTAAGCACCACAGTAAGCTCAATGGGACTATTCAGTGAGATGTATGTGGGCAGGTCTCTGCAGGACTAAGGGGCAACTTCCCATAAAAATTGCTTCAGATTGGTTGTTGTCCAAGCATCATCACTGTCAATCTGAAAATCCCCCCTCCTCCCAAATTAGCTTAATAGGAAATGACAAGAAAAGGACCTGGTAACTAATTGCCCCAGTGCTATAAAAGGAGAATTATTGCACCAGCAGGACAGGAGTAGGGCTTGGTGAGGATTTCTGCAGAAACCATTGGTGAGTAGCACCTGCTTATTTTTTTAAAAAACATTAATGTTTTGGTTTAGTTCAGTTTTTCCCCTGGAGAGAGAGGTGCAGAGACGCATTCTAGGTCTCCAAAAACCTGCCTGGACAATCCTGTACCATTACATGATTTTATTCACTACTTTTTATGCTTAAGGAACTCTTCAAACCTAATCAATGTCAAAAGTAAATTAAAAGCAACCCTGGCTCACAGATCTGCTGCTTTCCTAGCTTACCTTCTGTTTTGGGTTTCTTCCCTAATGCTTTTTAAAAACACTTCTTTCCCCAATTGTGTGCAAGGCCCATCTACATATGTGTGAGTGAGGAAGAAAAAACATGGAAATGGTGGTATTGCATGTACAAACTAAGGGGAATGATATGACCTTAGTTGAGAGTATCATTCCACTGACTCTAATGAGGTTCTCTGAACACAGTGGTGTCACTAACCCACAAGCCTGTAGACTGGAACAGAGGAAAGGAAGTACAGGCAGTCCCCGGGTTACGTACAAGATAGGGACTGTAGGTTTGTTCTTAAGTTGAATCTGTATGTAAGTTGGAACTGGTGTCCAGATTCAGACACTGCTGAAACTGACCGCCAGTTCTGACTTACATACAGAATCAACTTAAGAACCCCAGGCATCCCCAAGTCAGCTGCTGCTGAAACTGATCAGCAGCTGATTCCAGGAAGCCCGGGGCAGAGCAACTCTGCCTGGGGCTTCCTGTAGTCAGCGCTGG